GCTGGATATTTTCACTTGTGAAACCTTAATCATTTGGAGAACTTTTTATTTTAAAAGCATCTGCAACCTGATGGATATTTTTTGTATAGGAATATGTGACTTAGACTGTAAGTTGCTTAAGCAGTTTTGACAAAGTTGCTCTTTTACAGGTTTAGTTTTGTCAGTGATAAGTCTTCTCAACAAATAACATTCGATAGAAAGTGAAATATATGTTAATTCAAGGATGTGGTTATCCATCTAATACAGAAATTCAGCAATATTCAGTTATTAGTCCTAATGGAAAGACTTTTCAATTCATCAAAGATGGAAACTGTTAAAAAAAAAAAAGTAGTTAATTGATGAAAGTAAGACGTGACCACAGAACAGTTAGTCATTTAACAGAGTGTACGTGTTCAGCCGAGAATACACATGGTGAATCTGTTTGTTGTTATTTATGGCATAAGCTGTTTTTTATAATTTTTATTACCATAAAATACTGTATCTAAAGTAACATATCATCAGCTTGTGTTATCAAATTTATTACAATGCAAAGTATATTTCTTGTAAAAGATTCTCCAGGGAGCTCTTTAAGACCTCTGCATTGACAGTACTTGAACTGCTATCATAAATGTTTTGACAGTTGTGTCATTGGAAAATTTTTTGTTTAAAGAGAATGTTAGGAACTCAAGCTGAAGGTCTTCAGCATTTATTTAACATACCTTATGGCATGCGTAATGAACAAGAAGTGGCACTAGCCAATATGTTTCTATAACAGTGTTAAACACGGTGCTTCTTTTTTCTTTGGGAAAGCATAGTTTAATTTTTTAATACTGTTTTCAAAGGGATAATTTATATGTATTGTAAAATAAGAGGTTAGAGGTTGTTTGTAACTTACGGTTTTCCTGGTCCCTTGGGGAAGGAAGCAAATAACTAAATTAAAGTTGTTTTACTTCACTCTATATGTCAGATGCAAGTAAGTCTTAGTAATAAATCCCATCCTGAATGTGAGCCAAAGCTCTTCGATCTCAAAATCTTTCACAAAACATGAATGAAATGGTACTACTTGGTGCTGAAATTTGGTGTTTCCACCTTACTTTGTGAAAAGAGAAATACATCTCTTCGTCCTCCAAAATAATCGCGCACCACAGAGCAGCATATGTAGTTACAGTAATGTTGGAACAAATTCTTGGCAGCTAGGATACCTAATTTAAAAGTGTATGTTTTCTATTTTAATTTAATCAGCCATTTTACAAGCAAACAAAAAAAAACAGTGCCTCAAAAATTTTCACATGGCAATTTGGTTTATGGCTAGAGCAACACTTTGCAATGCCAAAGGATTCAGAGCAGCAAATTAAATACTTACATTAGTTCCAGAGAGAGTCTCTTCTTCCCAGAAAGAGTCTGTTGGGATGTAGCAGTGATTCCAGCTCTGAGTCCAGCTGGAGCAAACTGGGCCTTTTCCCTATTTATCAGTTTCTTTGCATACACTAGGCTCCAGACACTCTGCAGAGCAATGCTACAGGCTCTGAGACACGAACTTCCCACACAGCCTTTCCTGGGGTCGAAGCAAGGGCAGCTGCAAGTCCACATAAATCAAATAATAACTGGGTCATCAGGGACAGAGGCCATGGGGACCCTCACGTCACTGTTTCCCAGAGTTCTCCCAGTCTGATTACTAAATATTTTGCTTTATTGGTAGATTCTGAAATTCTCCCATTTTGATTGCTTAACATCGACGGATCTGAGTGCTAACAGATAACGTTCGTTGCCTGGTCAGGGAAAATATCGCAGTAGTGTTAGTTTGGTATATCTACAATACATGATAATTGAATTTGGTTAGGCCAGCATCTCTAAATGCAAAACACTTATCTTGTTCTGTCTAACTCTGACATACCTGTGCTGATGCAGCACAGCCAGGATCAATCCGTACCTCCAGAGCAGACAGTGAGCTGTTAGCAAATTTTTTGCCATGAATGTTGTAAAATTTTATTCTTATGAAAACTGAGAAGTTCTTTCATTTTGAACATTTTCTTATAAATTAATCGTTGCAACTTAGGTTTTTCATCACTTGCTACTTATGAGATGTGATCTTTTGGGCGAAGGCATTTTCTAGTTAAGCATCATGTCATTATATTTGCTGCCTAACAGGATGCATAGAAAGTGGCACATGTCTTAAATCCGGAATGAGGGTCACTTTTCTTCTGTGTAAAAGCTATTCTTGATATTACCTTAGCAAAACTGTTCTGTTGTATACTTAGTGGAGTTGCATGGCAAAGGGAAAAACTCCATTCTTGTTGGCTGCCTTACTGCAGAGTCACTTAAAATAGGCTTCTGGGGACAGCAGGTTTTCACAGATCTGTGGCAGAATACACAGCAAGCTGACATTACCCTTCGAAGGAGAGCTGTATCTATACTTCATAGGCTCCAGAGAAGAGCATGTTACTTATTTCCACATAGTCTGACACCATTTAGGAATCTGCGACTGAGTCTTTGGGAGTGAAATTGTTGAGTCTGACCTTTCAATAAAAGAAAAAAATTAACTCCCAGATCTTATTTGAGCATCTTATAGGTTTTGGGAGTCTTTTAAATCTTTAGATTGGTCATATGTGGTGACAAAGGGGTGGAAAACATGGATTTTGCAGTAGGGACAAAGATAATGATCTTGTACTGCTTAATAAGGCAGCTTTTACTGAGAAGACAAATACTGCGCATAATTAAACTTATTGAGATGTCAAATTAAAAACCTTTGATGAGAAAAACAAAGTTTACAATAGTTAGGAGTAAGACTTTTTTTTTCATTTCTATCGCAAATACCACGGTCTTTTTCATCCAGCTTTTGAGTAAGCCTTTCTCATGAATGTTGAAAAACAAGGGCGTTTTGTGAAATGTTATCTCTAGGTTTAAATATTAGTGACTTTTTTATGCTTTTTCTGATAGAAAATAGCTTTCTGATAAATTATCCAAATGTACTTGTGGGACTTGGATATTTAAAGCTTATTGACTTTGGGAAACTTAAGGTTGAAGCCCAGCTTTTTAGAAGGTATCTAATCCTGATTCTGTTCAGTGTTACAAAAGCTAATGGATGCAGAGTGATTTGAATTTCTAAAATTACTTAAGTGTATAAGAGTCTAAATCTTAGTTCTAGTAGAATATAAGTGCAATGCTTCTTTAAGTAGCCCATGGCCAGTTACTCCCACCCACATGCTATCTTCATAGCCGTGGTGTTACTGTTTTGCACAGTCATGGAGTGATTCAGACAAGAGGACTGGTCTATGTTAAAGGTATATATTAACATTATTTTAATAGATCAGTTCCCCTGTTCAAAGCTTAGGTTGACAATAAAAATGGGAGACCCGAGCGCCTTCTTCAAACACATAGAGAACTGCTGAAAAGAGGAGGAAAATAAACTTTTCCATGCTTGTAAAGAATACCAGCAATAAAAAGTTTATTTAAGAGTAAAAACGATTTAAATTAGATAGTAGAGAAAGCATTTATAATGGTAAAAATAACACTGGAGTAAGTTGCCTGTGTAATCTTCATCACTGGAAGTTTTGTAGAGTATTACTTAGAGAAGTAATAACTTAGAGAATTTAGGAATCAATCTCCAGAGTTGATCTTGATCTGTAAGGAGAAGGGACTCCTGGGATATCTTCTAGCTCTATTTTCTGTGACTTTTCCTTGCGTATGTCAATTTTGTAACACACGGATAACCTGTCTGATCAGCAACATGTCGAATGTCATTTTAAAAGGCAAAGTAAATCACCAAATACTTCAAGCATGCTTTGCTAGAGGTGAGTAAAACAACTGTGACTTGGATGTGGGCTGAAAATATTATTGGACATGTGCCTGGCATGAGCCACAGTCTAAAAGTGCCACTGAGGTGCAGAATACAGGATGCATATTCTCCCTACAAAATAATCACATCTGGTGATGATAAGTCTTACCTGAACACCTTATGTCGCGCTACTTTAGCAGTCTCGTTTCCGTCATTAGTGTAAACTGTGGCCTCTCTACAGCCTCGTGTACATAGAATGCCTCCCTTTGTGCAGTTGTCTTAAGAAGTTAATAAACTGCAGATGAAAAGAGAGCTTCCCTAGATCAATGTGTGTTGAGATAATTCATTTGCAAGCTCAGCAGAATTCTCTGTTCATCTGAACTGCAGTTTCTAGATCTCTGTAACTTGTTTGGTATTTGAACAGTTAAAGGAAATCATATCTGCTCCAGCTGGATGTTCTCTGCATAACTGACCCATTCTGCTTGATCTGGTATTGGACTGTTTACGCAACTTCAGTAATTAACCACTATCAGCCTCATTAATGAAACATAAACCACCTCTTCTGCTCATTTATAAAGCACTTGTCAAACAGAATTTAAACAAAGGGCAGAATCTCAGCAAAGTAACAGTCCTTCAAAAGCTACTGGGACTCTGACTACAAGTCATTACGGTCACTTTGTTGTTGTTTTTCAGTAAAAATAAAAGACAAGTGATGGCATTGTCTATTGCTTTTGGCTAACTCTTTGCAAAAACATCTGAGATCTGTCACATGAGGGCAATGATGCCTGGACAACTATTTTGGCCATTTCAGTGCAAAATACTGATGTTCCAGCTCATTACTGTAAATCATTAAATGATTAAAGCAAGAGTCAAATACTAAACAGTTGGGAGCCCATGGAAGACAATTGCTAATTACAGTAATTGTTGTTATATATGAGTTAAAGATTATGTTCAAATACAGATTACTTCTTTAAAGTCCTGTTAGTAAACTGTCTGAACAACGTTAAAGAAGGTTAAGTATTAAAAGTAAAGCTTATGTACTAAAATGTTAAGACTTCATCTTTACCTGTTTTTAGTTTTAGAGAAATAGACATAAAGTACAGTGAAGGACTAATTAGTACCAAAAATTGTGTGTTCCTGAGAACTATTTAGGTTTACAGTTTCTTGAGGAACCCATGAAAAACATGCAAGCTTTCTGTTCACTCTCTGTCCTGCTTTATTTATTAGTTTTATAAAGGTGCAGTGGTTCTGGCACTGTTGGGATAGTCTGTGTGGCAGGGATGAACCTCAGCTCTGGGAGATGATCAGTACATTTTTTTGTGCTGACATTTCTTGGATGTTGATGTTATCTTGTGCTTCTGGCTCTCAACAGAGAGAAAGATTTAATTTGAATAGGATGTTCATTTGTTATGGGTTTGGTAGTTTTAGTTGTTGGAGCACGTATTCAAAGGTAATGTCAGGGCCAGGAACTACTGTAGTAGGAAATTGTCCTTTGTTGTATTGTGAATGTTCACGAGCATTGTACATGCAAAACTTTAGGACAGGCAAAGAGTTGTTGCCAGAACAGCGCTAACCTCTTTACAGGCATCAGTTATGAAGAGGGTTGCAAGGAAAGGAAGAGGGATTGTCTGTCAAAGGCGACTTGTTCAATGTTGTTATGAATCTAAAATATAATTAACCTAGATGTTTGAAAAACACATGCTTGTTTTACTGTCAATATTTGCCTCTTTCCTGCAACACAGTGATCACCTTTACTGGTTTCACTTGTAACTTAAAGAGTGTCAGTGTAGTAGGTCAGCCGCAGCACTAACTGAAGTGCTTCAGATCCAAGGTAATGCTTGTAATGATAAAACAAAACATAAAACAAAACATGAGATTTTATTTGTAATATGAGTTCACCCTGTGCTTTCTTCCTTCTATAGGTTTTAAGCATGTGCTCAGGCAACAAGGTTTTTGTGTCATTTCCTTTGAGCACTACTTTACAAAGCTCTTATCTTCCCTAAATGTATTTTTAAAGCAGTCCAGTTAATTAAAAAAGTTAAAAAGAAATAATCTTCACAGAGCAAAGCTGTGTGTTTTAGCAGAGGAATGAGGCTGAAACTCGCCTGGGAAATTTAATCAGGCAACACCTTTCTTGCACAGATTTCAAATATACTATTATTCAACTGTTCCCACAAAGGAGGGGTAAAAACCCTGTGGAATACAGTGAACAGCTCCTGTTTTAGCATTAGAGAACATATATTCATCTGGTTGGCTTAGCATTAGATAATACAAAGCCTCTTCTGTTTTGCGTCAAATGTATCAAACAAATCTTCACAGTAAAATTAGTAGAGAGATAACTTGAAAGAAGATATAAGTTCTAATTAAGTTCCTAAATGCTTGCATGGAATGAAATAGTGGGGAGAAAACATCTGACCTAAGAGAAAAGCAATTTTAAACTTTTTAACCCTGATTTTTTTCTTAATTTTAAGTTGTTGCTTAGTTTCACTAGGTATTTGCTTCCAGGGTTTTCACAAATCTTGAAGAGAGTTAAACACTTGACTTCTGTGAAATTTTAATGCAAGAGCCAAACTGTTTTTAACTCCTTTGAGAATCTCAGGCAGCCTGCAAAATGGTCTTGTTCCTTCTGTGCATCCTCTTAAGCTTGGTATGTAGTGCAGACTCACCACCCTAAGGTAGAATAGGAACTAATAAACCCATCCATTCAATACTAATTAGAATGAATGGGTATCTTTCCTTCTCCACTTTTCAATGCCCTGTGCTAAATTCATGTGCTTTCTCTTGGCAGGGAGACCAAAATTTGTCAATAAAATGCTCCAGTATTCAGCAAGACACAACATGGAGTAAAATGAAGAAGGTGTAACCAAAGCTTGATTACACTACACTTCAGTGATGTTGGAATTGATGGTTAATATCGAACACTTGTAATGCATCTTCAAGCACTGAGATTCTTAAATCGCCATGCTTTTTTGTAAGTGCATCAAAGAAAAGTTAAGTCATGGACCTTATTTTCATAAAGCAGAATGTCTTGACGCTCTATATTGAAGCTTTATAAAATAATTATTATGGAATCTCTCCATCAGCATTTTATCAGCAGTAGAGTGTTGCTGCTAAGAGACTAAAATAGCTGGATATATCCATTGATCAATGAGAATGTTTTTCTTCCAGCCTGGATTCCATCTTATGGACATTTGTTTTAATAGTAAAAATAATATTAGACTCATTAATGTAAACGCTGTGGTGCAATGGATGACTCTTCCAGATTTGTTAAAGCAGGATAATTAAGATGAACAATGAGACTGAATTTCTTAGTAAGAACTTTTGTCACAGAATTTCTTTGTTTTATGCAGCAGTATTCCACCTTGAAGTATAGGCTTGGAAGTATAAGAAGATGCTTCACTTGGCCTCCAAATCTGCGAGGCTCTGTACTCCAGATTTTGTGGAAAGCAATACTCATGAAACTGTGACAATAGCAGATAATTGTGTTAAACCCATCACTTAATTGTAAAAGCAAACAATCCAGCAGTTTTGGGAGCAGTGTGGGAGAGAGAGACGTAGATCTGTTTTGTTTTTTAAACAAGCTGTAGCTACTGAAATATTTGGTTGTTAGACAACAAGTTTATCAAGGAAGGACTTCTAGTGGAAATGAGGAATATCTCTTTCAGCCTTGCAAAAGCCAATCTCTGCTGCAATATTGTGTGAGACTTGCACTATCAGAGACTCAGAGTCAAAATCATCCAAACTGTGCTGACATACCAGTGACCAGACTGATGATTAATGTGATTTTACCCCAAACCCAAGATTATCTTAGAAAATTGCCCTATTTTCCTTTATCTACTTTCAACATTTATATGACCCTCAATCTCTGTCACAGCTTTTTCTACAGGTCACTTCCTCTGTGCATTTTTAACCATCATACTCTAGTGTCAGTTTCTGGATAAGTACAAGAGCATTACCTGGCACATATTGTCTTAACATCCACAGCAGCGGTCCCTGAACTCCTCTCAAATCTACCGATAATACCCTGTGCCTAGGATTCTGTATAACGCTCCCTCCTTTTTGACACATACTGAGAAATGCTGTGTCTGTTATCAGTCCCTTTTATCACTCCTGTGCTTTTGGTCTGCCAAGAATCCTTTCCTTTTTGATTTTCCTCCTCTGAGCTAGATTCATGTAGTGAGCTTACACTCAGAAATCCTATGTATTTATTCCCTCAGAGAAATACTGCTTATGATTTTTCCAAGGTGGCCTAGAAATGTTTTTTGTTCTGTAGCAGCTTTGCTATTTTGGAGAGCACCAGTATGCCTCTATCTCATATGTGCTTTTCCTGCTAGAACAAATCCATGTTCTGTCTGACAAAATACAGCCATGTGGTTAAGAGTTATTAAAAGCATTAAAGCATTAACCTCCTGTAACCTCATTTTTCACTTTGTACACATACATAAGTGTTTAATCGAATTGAAGTTAAACACTAAAAAGTTTGAGAGGCCAAATTTATACATTCTCTTCAGTTTATACAGAGCTAATGTGATAAGAAGCCAAAGGAATTAAAAGACACCACTACACAGAAAATGCTCATCTGTTGATTTGTTTAAGCTCTGTTGCTACATACTAGAAGTTTTGGTGAAAAGCATTCCCAGCATTTAAATCAAGGATCTTTGTCCTACTGGGATCTGATCTGTGCCCTGGCGCCACACTAGCTCATTCTACTGTCCTTTGGAAATTGAACAAATCATTTTATGTCAAAAGATCTGCTGGAGAGGGCATGAGCCCAGTCCTTGAGTGAGAACAGAGACTAACCGCTGTGTGGTGTTAGTATAGTAGACTATGTCTTCTTCTCATTCTGCAATTTTATTTCAAGCAGTCAGAATCCCCAGAGGGACTGACCTGACTCTGCCATGGAAGTCTGATAAAGCAGTGCTGACCCTTTTGTCTGTCTCCTTTGCTTGTCTCCGCTTCGCATGAAAGGTTTGGGTATCCTCCATCTCTAAAACAGGGAAAAGTGAGTATTAAATCCCAGCAAAAACTGCCTGAAGGAAAGTATGAACGCAAGGAACATAATGGGCCAAAACCAGAAATTCAGACATGCACTCCAGGTGCTGAGGTGTAACTGTCCTTCATGCTGAACAAGCCAGGTTGT